CGGAGAGGGAGTCAATCACAATGATTGACGTATTGAACCCTGCCCCCAACGGGGATGAACAACAGGGATGTGGGGGAAGGGAGACAGCGGATGGTGTCAGATATGAAAATAATAATTAATAATTCATCAAGAGTTCACGAGGATGGGAGGGTGGGGGAGAGAGGGAAAACAGAGGAGCTGATACCAAGGGCTCAAGTGGAAAGAAAATGTTTTGAAAATGATGACAACATATGTACAAGTGTGCTTGACACATGGATGTATGGATTGTCATAAGAGCTGTAAGAACCCCCAATAAGAAGATTTAAAAGTAAAATAAAATTGATGTGGGGTAAGTGTACAATTCTCCATGATATGAATGAATTGTTGAATTATAAGATACGTAGATCACTTGCCAATCAAACTGTTGGGGAAAAAATAGGAGACCAAGCCAAGCGCTATGCTGAAATGTGTGAAACCGGACGGAACCGGAGAGTTCAAAGGGAAGAAGATCCTCTGCGTCTCTCAGCTGATGGAACTGAAGAGAGAATCCAGCCTTGGGCAGGACATCGATCGCCACCTGTCCTTTGGTCGTGCTGTCAGGAGAGGCCAGTGCCCGCTGGTGAGGGGACGCTGAGGGCAACAGGACACCGCTCAGTGAGGTGGGGCTGCCAGGGTGGGCTCAGACCTGACCGTGACTGTGAGGGCGGGGCAGCACGGGGCCGTGCCTCCTTCTGTGGTGCAGAGCCCTGTGGGTCATAGCAACTCAGTGCACCTAACAGCAACAATGCTGACCTCGAGGTTAGCAGTTCAAACCCTTCCAGAGACACCACAAAAGCAGGCCTCGAAATCTATTTCCATAAAGACTCGAGCCATGAGCTTCCCTGGAAAATGTCTCTTGTGAATTCTGCCTTCCTGGCAGCCCCTCAGGAGGCACAGCTCCATGTGGTTCCTGGCACATTTCCTGGCCACCTGCAGCTTCCAGCGTGCCCAGAACACATGTGCCCTCGGTTGCCCCTCCGTCATGGTGCCTGTAGCCCGTGTGCCCTTCTGCAGTCCCTTCCTAAATGTTGGGTGAGGGTGGCACCTTCTGAAGACCCCCATGGGTGCCTTCTCCGTGTCTCAAGGGCAGCTATTGCCTGCGCCATTCGGTCCCCTCACCCACCACGCAGGCTCCATCGCTCGGAGACACTCACAGGTTCCAGGTGAGAGCCCCCGGTGCTGCTCAACCATAATCCCACTCCCCCATCCATTCTTCTGTCATCTCTGTATCTGTGCACATACCTATAGCTTTCCACCCTTCCACTCTTCCATCCCACCATATCTATCTATCTATCTACTTATTTTCCATAATTCCATCCATCCATCCATCCATTTGTCTATCTATAATTCCATCCATCCATTTGTCTATTTTCCATCCATCCATTAATCTATTGATCTTTCTATTCTATCTTTCTATCCATCCACCTACCTATCTTTCTATCTATCAATATCTTTATTTTTATCTGTCTACCTATCTAATTTTTGATCCATCCATTCATCCTTCCATCTTTCTATATATCTAGCTAGCTAGCTATCCATCCAACCATCCATATACAAATATAAACATACATACAAACGCCTACTACGTGCCAGGCACTAATTTAGACATGTGAAGGACAAAAATGAGCAAAACAATGAAAAACACTCAGCCCCCTGTGGTAGCTTACAGCCTCACAGGGTCGAGAGAAGAGAGCCTGGATCAATGTATAGAACACGGCGTCTGGCGTTCAAGGGCACATGTCCGAGAGAAAAGTACAGTTGGCATGGCAACTGAAAAGTGCCCCCGCCTCAGGTGTGTCTCCCTCAGGTGCATCCCGGATCCTGTGAGCGTGACTTTATTTGGGAGAAAGGGTCATTATAGATGGAGTTAGCTGGAGAGCCTTGTCCGCGCACAAACGCCCTAGTAATCGTCGCACCGACGGGCTGTGCCGCAGACGCACGAGGAGAGGACGCCGGCAGGAGGAGGCGGAGATGGAGGTGATGCAGCCACAAGCCAAGGATATGGAGCCAGCAGCAGCCAGAGACGATGGACGCCCTCGTTTCCAACGCCATGCCTGCGTCCCTTGTGAAGTCCCTGCTAGTTACTGGTCTCAGCGGGAGGGCAGGGGGTGAGGACTGGTGGGTAGGGGAGAGTGTGGGGCTGGAGGGAGGGAGAATGGGGAAAGCCGGGCAGAGCTCTGGGGTGGCGACAGAGAGGAGCCTGAGGCCACCATTACTCCTGTGGACACCCCTCCCACCACAGGTTTGGGTCCCTGATGGCTGTGTGATGGGTGGTCGGTGGGCACCCTCAACCCAAGCCTCATAGTCACACCTCTCTTCCACCCTCTCCTGGCTCTCAGCACTCAATGACCTGCTGAGAGCTGGCCTCGAGTGGCCAGGACAATGACTTCTTGAGCCCACGTGGGAGGCAGCTGGCAGGGTGGTCAGTGTCAGACCTAAACCAAGGCCCCGGGAGCTGGGCTGTGGGCCCTGCTGACAGGCTGGTTTGCTCCAGCGATTCTGATGCCAGCCGCCCCGTTAATTGGCAGTGAGGCCAGCGGCCTCTGCACTCAGGTAATTGGACCCTGGAGTCCCCCGGCTCTGTAGAAAAAGCCACGCCTGTCCTTCCCCAGGTCCTCAGCTAGCCCACCTCTCAGGAGCTGGCTGAAGCTGCATGTGGACGCTGTGGCAGGTAGTGGCCTAGAGATTCGGGCCGAACTGGCCCTGCTGCCTGTGGTCAACAGCAGCTTCCCACAAGGAGTGCTCCCGGCCTCAGGAAGGACATCACTCCCTGCCTGTGGCTGGCCTGTCTGCTGGGGTTCTTGAGCACGGTGAGGGGTGTGCGTGCATGTGTGTGCGTGTGCGTGTGCGTGGTGCGTGTGTGAGAGACAGACAGACAGAGAGACTCGGAGGGAGAAGGATGGGCAGCACCCATTGTATCAAAAGAAGCAAAGCCAACCCCGTGCTGTGGAGTCGATGCTGACTCACAGCAGCCGGTAGAACAGGGAGAGCGGCCCCTGTGGGTGTTCCGCACTGCCAGTCATCGGGGTGCAGAGAGCCCCATATCTCCCCCAAAGAGTGACTGGTGGTTTCAAACTGCCGACCCTGCATCCGCAAGCCCAGAGTGGAACCACTGTGCCACAAGGGTCCTCTCACTTTGCCTGCCCCCTTTTGGACAGGGCTGGGCACCAGGGGCCCAACGGAGTCTGCAGCTATGGCTTGCCTCCTATGGGGTCCTAAGTCCCAACATCGTGCCCTGCCCAGAGCATAGGGCCAGACAGGGTGTCCAAGCAGGGCAAGCAGAGGCAAGAGGAGCCTACCTGCGACACCCAGCTCAGGGCTCCCTGAAACGCATCCTCTGTGGGTCCAGAACTCTCATTCTCCTCTCTCAGGTTTTCCTCAAAACCCCACGTTTGAGTTCGCTCACACGGCCCGTGGAGAAATTGCTCGGGAAGAGATGATCTGGGGACCTGTCCTCAAAAAGCAGAGGCCTTACCGCCTCCGTGCAGGGCCCAGGCAGGGCAAGCGCCCACACACACATTCTCAACATGGGGGTGGGTGGGGTGGGTCTGTCGGGTTCCGGACAGAACAGCATCTACGAGTGGGAGTAAAGGAGGGGCAGGCTCAGGAGACCCGTGAGTCGGAAAGAAACGCGTCCCATGTTAAGTTCGTGGGCTGACAGCCACAAGACCAGCAGTTCAAAGCCACGGCCCGTCTCCAAGGGAGAAGTCGAAGCTGCCTGCCCCTGTAAGGAGTGTCCATCTCGGACCACAGGGCCAGCTCTGCCCTGTTCTGTGAGAGCAGATGGACGTAGCGGCCATGAGTTGCTCACCCATCTTGTGAAGGACCCTTTGTGAGCTGTCAGGCCAGCCCTGATAGGGAGACCCCGTGTGTCGGGGGAAGACTGCTCCTCAGGGTGTCTGCCACCCACAGAGTCGCATGAAGGTTGGGGCTGAGGAGCAAGAGAGCAGAAATCCCCCAAGGAGCCTAGTACACAGGCCAGGCTGCTCCCAGTGACCCTGGCCCCCGACCTCTGGGGCCGGAAGCCTGCTGCGACCTCCTGCTAGGGTGGACAGAAATCACCATCAATGTCCAGAGAGGAAGCACGCAGGACCAGACACGGAGACCCTCTACTGGCCAGGGATTCTGACCAGCGTGATCCAAGGGCCTGCTTGGTCCTTGGATCTCCTAAAGGAAGCCAGGTGACCTTGAGATTGATGCAGGACAGTGTGTCACCCCGAGTGCCCAAGTGTATCCTGGGGCTGCTCCTCCCTGACCACGCCGTGCGTGTGTGTGTGTGTGTGTGTGTGTATGTGTGTGTGTGCGCGCGCGCGCATGTGGGTGTGAGTGTGGTGGGAGGTGCAGTGGGGAAGAGCACACAGCCGAGTCACGTGGACAAATCACTGCATGTGCAGTGGCTTCTCCACCCATGAGGACACACACCATCTCCTGGAGCTCATGGAAGAGGGTCCCAGCTTATCCCCAACCCCTTCCCAGCACGGGACTTCCCACAGAACCCATGCCCCTCAGAGGCTGAGCACTTGCCTGCCGTCTCTGAATGCTGAGGGGAAAGTGCACCCCTTCCCCGTGGTGAGGGCGGCGGGAGAGAGGAGAGCTGGCCACTCAGGAAACACTAGGCGAGCTTTGACTGGTTGGGTTTTTAAACCAGGTTCCAAATCCCAACAGTCCAGCAAATAAACGAATCTCGGTCCCTAGCCCCATCTTCTGAAGCTCCCTCCTTCCAACACCTGTCTCAGCACATCTTCTTTCCCTGGCTCCCGCCTCCTCATGAAACCCAAACAGCAGGCAGAGGACTTCTGCGCTTTAAACCTGGCAGGTAACTAGAGGGTTGCTCTCTCCTGCTGCTCCCAAGAGCCCAGCGTCTGGTCTCTGGAAGCAGGACCAGTCTGACACCCAAGGGCTAGCTCCGATTCTCCCCGCAGCTGCCCTCCAGCCCCTGCTCGGTGATGTTTTGCAGACACCCAGCTCCCACCCACAGAGGGATGAGGGGAGAGAACCTCACCAAGGTCAACGCCTTCCTCCTGGTGGGCTTCCCCACGGCTCCCCGGCTGCAGTTTGTCCTCTTCCTGGCCTTCCTGCTCACCTACCTCTTCGTCCTGGTGGAGAACCTGGCCATCATCCTCACCGTGTGGCGCAGCGCCTCCCTGCACAGGCCCATGTACTGCTTCCTGGGCTCCCTGTCGGCCCTGGAGGTCTGGTACGTGTCCGACATCATCCCCAAGATGCTGGACGGCTTCCTGCTGCAGCGCAAGCGCATCTCCTTCGTGGGGTGCATGGCCCAGCTCTACTTCTTCAGCTCCCTGGTGTGCACCGAGTGTGTGCTCCTGGCCTCCATGGCCTACGACCGCTACGTGGCCGTCTGCCACCCCCTGCGCTACCAGGTCATCATGACCACGGGGCTCTGCGTGCAGCTGGTGGCCTTCTCCGTGGTGAGCGGCTTCGGCGTCTCCGTGATCAAGGTCTACTTCATCTCCAGCGCCAAGTTCTGCGGCTCCAACGTTTTGAACCACTTCTTCTGTGACATTTCCCCCATCCTCAAACTGGCCTGCACCGACTTCTCCACAGCCGAGCTGGTGGACTTCGTCCTGGCCTTCATCATCCTGGTCTTCCCGCTGCTGGCCACGGTTCTGTCCTACGCACACATCACGCTGGCCGTGCTGCGCATCCCTGCGGGCACCGGCCGCTGGAGGGCCTTCTCCACCTGCGCCTCCCACCTCAGTGTGGTCACCATCTTCTACACGGCCATGATCTTCATGTATGTCCGGCCCCAGGCCATCGACTCCCGGAGCTCCAACAAGCTCATCTCCGCAGTGTACACCGTCCTCACGCCCATCGTGAACCCGCTCATCTACTGCCTGCGGAACACGGAGTTTAAGGACGCCTTGAAGAAGGCCCTGGGTCTTGGTCACGTGCCACCGTAGGACAATTGAATGTTCCAGGGCTGCCTTTGGGGTGTCGATCAATGAACACCTCAAGCTTTGCACTTCATCTGGATGTGTCCCCACAAAAGGGTCCCCCTCCTGCAGCCAGCACCCAGGTCGTGAGTCAGCTCCCTTTCCCTGATCCCGCCCACCTGTTACCCCTGCCCACATGCTCACCCTGGGTCTGTGCTCTGGGGGTCTCATCAATGGATTCAGACACTATCTCTGCTTCCTTCTCTCAACTCCATGCTTCAGTGAATTGTTTAGGATTTGACACAAAGCAATCGCTCTTGTATTCTTATGGCCACCTAATAGTCCAGCGTATAGACCAGCGGTTCTCAACCTGTGGGCTGCGACCCCTTTGGGGGTCAAACAACCCTTCCATAGGGGTCACCAATTCATCACAGTAGCAAAATGACAGTGATGAAGTAGCAACGAAAATAATGTTATGGTTGGGGGTCACCACAACCTGAGGAACTGTATGAAAGGGTTGTGGCATGAGGAATGTTGAGGACCCCTGGTCTAGATGTATCTCCATGCATTGATGTGCCTGGTCCTCCACCAGCCGCGTCATCCGTGTTGGATTCAACCGTCTTCCCCCATGTGGTTTCCACCGGTCATCGCGTTCTGGAGGCAGATGGCCAGGTCTTCGCGTCCGGAGTCTTGGATGGGAAGCTGCCGAGCGCTGTGTTCAGCATCACTGCAGCGAAGCAACCTCTGGGTCAGGTGCCCCTTAGTCCTCAAAGGGTTTGCTCTTCTAATACAGGAAAGAGGTATTTTGTGGGGACTTTAGATTTGGCCTCTGTAATACGTTCTGTGTACAAGTCCTTGGTTAGCTGTGGTCACTGAAGTAATTATCTACACACATAGCCACGGACAGATGGGGGTGTCCACCCGAGGTGCGTCGGATGAGAATGAAACCTGAGTTCCCTGGAATGTTGTCTGCTGTCAGGAGGTGCCCGAGCCCGCTCCGACCCACAGTGAGCCCGCGCAAACCAGCACCGAGCCCGCGGGTCCTGCCTCTCCACACGGCTGCTCCTGTGCTCGAGCCCCTGGCTGCAGCGCTGTGTCTGTCCGAGGGCCTCCCCCTTCTTAATGGCTGCCCCTCATTTTACCAAGCACCATGTCCTTCTCCAGGGACTGGTCTCTCCTGACAGCACGTCCAAAGTACGAGACGGAGTCTTGCCATCCTGGCTTCTCTTATTTATTTAAGGATATTATTTTAACAGTGACAAAACCTTTTTTACAGAATCAGTATGAAGCAGTAGTTGACATCTCCGTAATTATCAGAATTATTTATGCTTGAGGTCTAGGCTAAGGGGGTCTGAAGTCCACAAGGTCTTGCACGGTTGTTAGCTCAGAAATCATTCTGAGGAAGCCCACCCGGGGGATGTGGATGTCTGCTGTGCTTAGCGCTCACGACATGGTCCGGTCCCTCTCTGTCTCTATGCACTCTTTGGCTTGAAGCGAATCGGCAGTGTTCAAGAAATGCCTTCCAGCTCCTGCCCTTTGCTACTTCTGCAACATTCTGCTCCAACCGCTTCCATTTCAACGTGGTCTGTTCTTTTCTAAGTGGCTCCCCCGGAGGTTTCCGACTACCGCTGAGGTCTGAGCTGAACAGGCTTTTATGGCTCTGTCCCTACTGGAATAGGCTGCATCCAAGACCGAGCGTGGTTTACAGGTCAGGATGGCATCTGTTTCCCAGCAGAGGAAACCATTGGAACGGCAGTGTTTATGCCCTGGACTCTTGGGTCATCAGCCTGCCTCATCCCGAGTCATTCTGACTCAGGTTTAAAGGAAAGGGCTAGTAACCTGGGGCTCAGCGAACCCCCCACACTGCACACCATCCCTGGGCGCCACCATCTCGCCCTCCTGGCTTCTAAGGCGGCTGTGCTTGGTGGACTTCTCCCGAGACACATCTGTGAGTCCTTCTGCCAGTCCGTGGTACTTTCAATATTCTCCTCCAACACCGTCATCCAAGTGCGCCCATTTGTTAGATTTCTCCTTGGGAAACACCTCGGCTCTTGACTGCACATGAGAAAGAATTCACGCCAAGACCTGGCTTGTGATCCAAGTGGCTTTTTATAAAAGACAAAAGTTTCGGGCGCGACAGTCAATGAACCTAGGCCCCTTTGGGGCACTGCACACCCACACGTGGCAGCCTGAGGCCAGAGAGAGACAGAGACAGAGGCCGCAGCACCGCCAAGCAGAAGGCAGAGACACAGCCGAAGGGAAGGGGCCGCGGTCTCCAGGTTGCAGCTCGGAGGACTTTCTGCTGGGAGGCGTGGTTGTGGGTGCTCGTTGATCCCATTGGCTGAATTAAGCCCACCTGGCTTGGGCTTGACTTGTGCATGCCCGAGCTGGCATCGCTTCCAACCTCCTGCAGGGGGACCCTGGGCACAGAGAGGAACAACCCCCTTCCTGCTACGGAACACGTTCTTTCCCCATCTTCCGTATTCAGTGTCCAGCTTTCATGGAAGTTGAAGATGCTACCACTGCACCATACATGTGCCCTCGTTTATGAAGGAGCACACAACAATGATTTCACGTCATTTTCTAAGTCCTTTTGCTCGTAGAGAACGCGTGAGGGAGGCGAGTACGGTCCGTTTTAGTAGAAGGTACCTGCGTGGCTTCCAGAGCAGGTGTGCTTCTTTCCACTCTCGTGGCAATGCAAGAGAATCCCAGCGGCCGGTGACCTCGCGCTTCCACCCGTTTTCCCCAGTCATGCTACTGGCGTTGTAGGGAGCCTGTGCCGGCCGTGTGCCTTCTCCTGAGGGTGAGTGAGGCCAAGGAGCTTTTAACATGTGGCGTGGGGACTGTCCACGTGCACAACATCTTCTTCCTGAAGTGCCCGTGCGTGGGTCAGGTACGGTGGGGGGCATTAGGAACAGCCTGACCCGCCCTTATCAGATGGAGAGGGCTAGATTCAAAAGGGCTCCAGGACAAAGGAGCCATCTCCTCAGTGTCAGGCGGAATGAATAAGGCACCACCCTACCTTGGAATTTCATGGATAGAGGCAGCTTAAGCCCCCGCAACTGCAGCTTCTGCCCCCTCCCTTCTTGTTTACCCTCCTGACCAGTTTACAAACGTGCTCTCTGCCACAGATAGATGCGACTTCTCAGGGCCCCCCACTGGGGCCCCCCCGTGAAGCTCACCCAGGAGTTCAGGGCTCCTGTGTCTCTCTGCTCTCCCCTCCCTCCCGGGCAGCAGGACTTCCCCGACTCCTTGCTGGAGCCCTTGAATCAATCTCACCAAAGAGCCCGTAGAGCAGCCTCTTCTTTTTCTCGGCCCCTCCACTTTACCAAGAATGATGTCCTTCGTCAAGGACTGCTCCCTGCTGACCGCAGAGTCTCGCCATCCCTGCCTGTGAGGCGCTCGGGCTGTAGTTCCCTCGGGACAGACTGGCGTGCCCTCCCGGAGGCCCACAGGACCTTCAAGAGTCCGCGTCCGCACCATCATTCAAAGGCACCAACTCTTCTTAGCCCTCGTCCATCTTTCACATGCACATGAACGTGGCTTGGGTCGGGGGTACCTCCGTCCTCGGTGACCTCTTGGCTCTTTTGACGCTTTAAAGAGGTCTTTGAGGGAGACTTCAGAGGCAGCGGTTTCCCTAGATTCTGGACACGAGTCCTTTGTTGGTCCTCTTCAGCCCCAGGTGCGACTCACCTCTGCAGTCTCTCACTAGTGTCTGTTGACGGGCCTCGCTCCTTCCTTCAGTGCTGTCCAATCTGCCTGCTTTCTTCCGTTGATGGGTGGTGATATAGTTTATTAGGGCAGCCTGGCCGATAAATACAAGTAGGATTAACTGAAGGGCGGAGAGAGAGTGGCTCGGTGAGCCTCGTCTTTCTTGTCTCTTGCTCTTTGATCATCGGACCAGTGTGCGGCTGCCTTGCTTGTTCTTTGCCTCAATTTATAGGCTACACTACCTGTGGGATGCCTAGCCTGTGGACTGTGTCGCTGTAAGTTGAGGTCCCTTTAAGACTTCTCTGGAGCTGGGGACTGGCAGTTGGGGCAGGTGGTTAGTTGACAGTTGGTGATCTGCCTTGTGATTGGCTGCTGTGCTGAGATAGCCTCGCTCGCTCTATAAATAGAGGGAGGTCTGGCAGCAAAGAGACAAGTACTGCTAGTCTTTCACAACTCTGAGCCATTTGTAGTGCTTATAATTTAACTGTTCATTTCTTATATATTTATCTGTATATGATTTAACAGTTCATTTCATGTTATATATCTAATCTTTATAAATAAATATATTTAATTGTCAGCAATTTGGTCTTATCTCTCTAGAGAACCCTGTCTAACACAGGTGGCTTACCGTTTTTCCTACTTAAGAAACATGTGCCTGTCCCAAGGTTGAGAAAAGATGTCCCTTGGTTTCATTCTAGACGTTTTATTGTTTTATCTTTGGACGTATTCTCAGGAGAGACTCAAACTAAAAATAAATAAAATTGGCTTCCATGGAGTAGATGCTGACTCCTCTCCTAGTGACCTAAGTCCCTGGAAAAGGACGTCGTGTTGGTAAACTAGAGGGTCTGTGTGGTGGGCTGCCACAGTGCCTGCCACAACTGACTGAACCCCAGCCGCGAGCGGGTGAGGGCACAGGGAGGGGCAGTGTTTCAATGCTGTACTGGGGGGGCAGGGGGAGGTGCCCTGACTCAGCAACAGCAGCTCAGCGAGGACACACTCGTGAGTGTGCGACTGGCTAGTGGACGCGGAGCCAGCTGGGTGGACGCACCAGACTCCGTTTCCTCAAGCTAACGCTGCACTGTGTCCTGTGAGATGTTACCTCTGGTGGAGCTGGGGTGCGGGTCCACAGAACGGCCCAGGTGTGTCTTGGTAACTTCTTGTAAGCTTACAGTTCTTTCCAAGTGAACTATATTGAAAATAATTGTGTTCCATAATCCAACAAAAAAGAAGCATAACGGGGAGAAGAAAGAGATACCACTTTGTGGTAGTTACACAATCTCCTATCAACGTGATAAATAAGAATGCAGGGGTGGAGT